TACTCCGATATAGCCATATGGGTATTAGCCAATCAAATTTCAGCGCATGTGCTTGCACATATTTTCTACATTTTTCACATTAATTTTCTTATAGCGTCTCACAATACATACATTTGTAATAAATATTAAAGAATCTCATTGAAAAATAAGAGAGATGTAACCCTTTAAGTATTAGCCAATCAGAATTCAGCATACGCGCATAAATGGCCTTGCATTCAATTTTGATAGTAGCATAATGTGGGAGCTCTATGTGCCTATCCATGTCGTAAATTTCATTCTGTTTTGTTGAAAACCAAGGAAGTTATATAGATTTAAAGTTTCAACCAATCAGATTGCAGCACACCTACATGCGCGTGTTTTCAAGAAATTTCCTATATAACATGTTGTAGCACTTTATAATATATACTTATATTCTAAATTTCAAAGTATTTTGTCAAAAAACAAGGAAATTATTGAGATTTTTGTATCAGCCAATCAGAGAAGAGCGCACGTGCATGCGCGTGAGTTCACGCTAATTTGACCAGGTTATTTTGTCTAGACTACTAATATATCTTTATACTTTGAGTTTCAAAGCAATTCATCAAGAAATATAATAGATACGGCTTCATCAAGTATATCAGTCATCTCACTCATCGCACGCGCGCGCACGTGCATGCATGTGCGCGCAAAATGACCTTCGTTCCGAACACCTACACAACATGTCTATTAACCCTAAAATGGTTTCATGTCAATCGGATGAGTGGTTCTATGAGAACACTCCCGGACAAAAAAGTACCGGAGAAGAAAGTAGAAAAAAAGAATAATAACTAGAAACTCATTGCAAGCAATGAGAGGTCTTCCGTCCGATTTTGAAAATAAAAACGTAAATTCAAGCTGAAAAGGTGATATAAAAAAAAATCAGACACTCTGGAAATTTAACCCTGGTCGTCATCGTGAAAATCAAACTTTCTAACCATTAACCATTCACTTTTTTGCATCACTTCCTGTCACGACCGGAAGTAACGGCGATACAAAATTTTCTTGCGATTCAATTAAACTGATGACTGATTATCATTCCTGAAAGTTTTAGACTTCAGTCGTTTACTGTTGCCAAGCAATATTGTGAGAACAAATTCTAATTTTGAGGACAGGTAAACAAGCAACCGGAAGTGAATTTTATATAAAAAAAAATCTCTGACGTTTCTCTAGATATTTGCAGTATCTACAAAATACATAAAAACATTTCAAGTACTTTATCGATAAGTAATACTTATGAGATAGTTAAATATCGAAATAACGTAGTTTATCACCTAAAACCGGAAGTTGACGTTTTTGTTTCAGGTGGAATTTAACATATTTCAAAACAGCGGAAGAGTTGCAATAAAGTGATGCAAACTTTAATTTAAAAAAGAAAAGTTAATTTTTTTTTTATTTCTTTGATCATTTCCTGTGACAACCGGAAGTTACGACTGACGCGTTTAACCAAAATGGTTTCGCCTATTCCTCAAGGTCTGTTACTCATAAAAATTTGGTGTTTTCATCTTTTCCCTGTTTTTGAGATGTCGCTCACACAATTTATCATTTTGAGGACAGAAAAACATGCAACCGGAAGAGATTTTTTGAAAGATATTTGAGGTTACTCTAGACATTTGCAGTCTGAATAACATATTTAAAATTCATTTCAAATACATTAGCTATAAAGAATATTTATGGGAAAGTAAAATACTCAAATTATTTAGTTTTTCTCTGATAACCGGAAGTTGTCGTTTTTGTTTCCGGTGGAACCTACATCTTTCGAATTTGCGAAAAACATGCAATAAAGTGATGCAATTTTTAATTAGAAAAAGAAAAGTTGAAATTTTCGATATCTTTGATCACTTCCTGTGACGACCGGAAGTGACGACTGACGCTCTGAACCCAAATGGTTTTGGCTACATCTTAAGGTCTGTTGCTCATATAAGTCTGGTGTCTTAATCTCCTTCCGTTTCCGAGATCTTGCTTAGAGAACTTCTCACTCTGAGGACAGAAAAACACGCGACCGGAAGTGAATTTTACAAAGATATTTGACGTTACTATAGACATTTGCAGTCTGAATAACATATTTAAAATTTATTCCAAATACTTTATCTACAAAAGATATTAATGGGAAAGAAAAATACTCAAATTATGTAGTTTTTCTCTTATAACCGGAAGTTGACGTTTTTGTTTCCGGTGGAACCAACATATTTCAAAACTACAAAAGAGATGCAGTAATGTGATGTAAGTATTGATTTAAAAAAGGAAAGTTGAAATTGAACGATTTCTTTGATCACTTCCGGTGACGAACGGAAGTGCCGACGACGAACGAAAAGGTGCCCTCTCCAATCTAGAAATCATGTTCTATTATCTCTTACAAGTCTCCAGTTCATATCTTAAGCCATTTTTGAGAACACTCACGGACAGAATTTCATTTTAAAATCAGAAAATTGTCCATTACTTGGTCCTGGAACCGAATTTACCAAAAAACGGAATTTTATATAAAATTCATATAAAGACCTTTTATCCCTGAAAATTTCAAAGAAATTCATTGAATAGTTTTCGAGAAATCGCGTGCACAAAATTTTGTCTAAAAAAAAAAAGAATAACAATAATAAGAAACAATAGAATCACTATAAGGTCTTCCGTGGAGATGGAAGACCTTAATAATAATAAGAAACAAGAGTAAAAACAATATGTTCCCAAACTTCGTTTGGGGAACATAATAAATATATTCTAAACCAGTGCACTGAGGTCCAAGGGCCAAATTGTTAATGCTCTGAACACTCATCGATGTCTCTAACCTGGAAGGGGGGGGGGGTTTAGACACTTGAACACATTGAATAAACAGGGATTAATTCATAGAACTTGTACCTGCAATATAGAAATATACATCCTTTTATTTTATTTGACAAATTATAGTGATTTGCTATTTAATATTTACACTTGCAAAATTTTTTTCTTCAGATTTTTTTCCAAGTTAGAAAACAGTTCATTTTCTCACGAACTAGGTAAATGGATGAGCAAGGAACAATGTCCATTGTGACGTCATAATGCCACACTTGACGTCAAAACTATAGTGCAAACTGTTGTGTTTAAAAAATTTTCTTTGAATGGCTTTTATAAATTTTTGTCGCTTCATGCTTACGGGGTTAGTGAAATATGCCTACGTGAAGTGTCTTTGTTCATGTCCTTCATTTTTCAAATATATTCCCTGAGCATGATGAGTTGAAATGTTTTTTATGTATATGCTCAAAATGATTTTCCCTCTCTGGTATACCTCTGTAGTACCTCGATTGTCAGAGTTTCCTCTCTTCATTTAGAGAAAATTAATATTTCATCTGTCATTCTTACACATGTATTTTTTTGCTACATTTGTGAAAACTCGCAAAAAAAAAAAAAAAAAAAAAAAAAAAAAACTTTTCTTTTCTGTCAGAAGAAGTGTGTTGGGTTTAAATTTTTTACCAAATGGAACGTATAAAACATTTTACAACAAATGTTTACGCAATATATGCAACGATGATTCACTGTTTACATGGTCAATGTAAGTGTTAAAAATGCTAGAAAAGATCTTACAGAGGAAAACAATTTCCTCTGCAATATTTTTAAAAAATATATTCATGTCCAGCATGCAATTTTAAACTGGTCTATACAGGTATGTATCAAAATCGCATTCGTTCATCTGTTCATCCATGTCCATTACAATCACTGAGAAAATCACGCCGCCGCTTCTAGGAAATGAATATCTATACATAGATGTAGATCCTATAGTAAAGAAACAGATCTCGAATAAAATTCTAATATTTTAATTAGAGGACATAAAGATCCAGATATAAATTAATTTCTTAATGAAATACATTTCAATGTTCAGAATACACGACAAAAGCTAGACGTTTCAAAAGAAAAAAACAAGTGGAAAAAAAAAAAATCTGCGTCAACGCTTGCTATCACTCTGCAATGTCACATCTTTATCTTATTCTTTCTCTTTTCTAGAAATATTTTGTCATGGGCACAATCATATCACGCTTCTTATTCCAGATATGTTTACCGTAAATTTTCTTTTTTTTTTAACATCACATGAGTCGATCAAGCTCCAGACAGCTCAGTATTACGTTACGCTACAACTCCATATCATCGCTTTATTATTCGTAGGGAAAGCAGTCCCGGAGAATTGACACTGTATGGAGTTTGATGAGTCGATCACATGACGCCTTGCAATCGCGTCCTCAATAAATGCAAAGGTTATCGTGGTTATGGCAATTTAATAATTCTCTTTTATGATAAAAAAATTCTAAACTCAATTTAGAGGGTGATACAACGTTATTTATGAACAGTATGCAATTCCAGTATACGATACAGACAATATATAATTCATTGAGGAAGAAAATATTGTTTACATTCAATGATCAGTTTTTTTTAGATGGATTTACAAGCAATATTGAAACTCTTGAAGAAAAAAAGGAATTGAAAGATATTAGAAAAGAAAAAAATGACTGGTGTATATATAAAGTTAAGGACAAGATTGATAGATAAGGCAAAAAACCTACACAGTACTTTGTTTTGATAAGTATTGTTTTAGAAAGATTCATATTAAGGTTGTACATGTATATTCAAAGAAGGAATTCATACTGGGATCATTTGAAAAACAGGACAAAATTGTTATTCCAAATAAAATGTTTTATCTATACCATGATATGTAGTAGCACAAAACTCTCCTTTAGTGGATCTTCCATCAAAGGTATGTATGACAAAAACAGGAATATTGCTCATAAGAATAATAACCAAGTAAAATTTGATAAAATCTGGGAGTACAGGAAGAATCTGTGTATATCATTTCCTCTCTCTTCTTCTCTACATTCTCTCTCCATCTTTCTCCCTCTCTCTTAAAAAACTTACAGAAGACATACATGTTTTATTGAACTTATGTATCATAAACTGCGAATAAAAACTGGTTTTGTTTTGTTCAATTAGACATGCTACTTCAAGGAATGAAATAGAGACCTTAATTAATTTATTATTTTTCAATTTAATCATTTCTATCTATCTGCTACATATAATATGTGTTAAAATGCCTGACAATTTTACTCTTTGTTTAGTTTTTGACTGCTATAATCCCATGTATATTTGATTTTTGGGTGCTGTGGTTAAAGGCTGTGTTTCCTCTTGGAACTGTCTTGCTTTCCTTTCCTTGTGAACTTTGTACACAATCAGAGCCAAAATAATAAAAGCCACTGAAACAATGAAATATCTATTTCTTAAATAAAGAAAACAATAAGTAAATATTTTCAACAATTATTGAAAGAACAAACAACTTTTATTAAATCATTTAAAAAAGATAAACATGGTTAAGATTTAACTTGATAGAAAATATTAGTTTTAAAGAATATGGTCATGTTGAAAATTCTAGAACATTATTTTTGGTCTGTCCGTTGGTCCATCTGTCTGTTTGTCCACAAAAACTTTAACCTTGCCCGTAACTTTTGTATTGTTGGTGCTAAGACTTTCATATTTCATGTATTTTCCTTGTGACAAGACCTTTCTTTGGGTACCAACGTATTTGACCTCTTGACATTGGCCTTAAAGTTTAACCTACTTTTTCAAAAATTTACCAAACTTTAACCTTGACCAAAACTTTCAAATGGTTAGAACTAGAGCTTTTATAATTCACAAGTGTATTCCATGTGTCCAGACCTTTCTTGTGACAAGACCTTTCTGCCAACATTTTTTTATGTTGACCTTGGAGTTTGACCTGCATTTGAAAAAAAAAATTAACCTTGTTATAACTTCTGAATGGCTGCTCCCTTTCATATTTCACTTATGCATTTCTTTTGACAAGACCTTTCCTTTGGGACCATTATTTTTGACATTGACCTTGGAGTATAACAAACTTTTGGAAAATTTTTATTCTTGGCCATAATTTCTTGATGGTTGGTACTAGGGAAATTAAATTTCACATGTGTATTCCTTGTGTTAAGACCTTTCTTTGGGTATCAACATATTTGACCTCTTGACTTGACCTTGGAGTTTGACCTACATTTGAAAAACTTAAACCTTAGCCTTGAGCTGCCATATAGGGGCATCAGTATTGCATAATATTGCATTAGTATGGTGTTGCCACTCTCAAAAAGATTTTTCCTGTATGTATATATACTTCCTTGAAAACTCTGATCCTATTAAAGCCTCAACATATCCAAGAGGGTCCTGATCTGGACAAACTTGAATAAACTACATGAGGATGCTTCCATATTAATATGACTTATCATAACTTTGCTGTTTTTGAGATTTTAAAAATGTTTCATGTATACATTCCTTTGAAAAACATCTGTAAAACTTTGATCAACTATTGTGGCCCCACCTTACCTTACCTTACCATGATTTGATTGATTGATTGATTGGTTGTATGTTGATTTACGTCCCATATGAGAATTTTTTTACTCGTATAGAGACGTCACCGTATGCTGGTGAAGTGCTTCAAATTTAGACCTATACTCAATACTCAGGGCCATTGAGCAGTAAGGATTTTTTATCGTGCCAAAGCCTTCTGTGACATGGGACCTCGGTTTTTAAGGTTTCATCCGAAAGACCTGTGACGTTCACTTCTAGTGCCGGGTGCTTGGCGAAGGAACAGTCACTACCAATGTTTACATCTTGGGTTTGATGCGGCGTGGTGAACGAAAATCGAACCGGGCCTCCCAATCAGGAAGCAAGCGCATTACTACTAGGCTACTGTGACCGATTTGAACAAACTTGTAGTTACACCTCCTGAGAATGCTTCCCTATCAATATAACTAGACATAACTTTGCTGCTTTTGAGAAGAGATTTGTTCCTACTTTTCCTGTGTAAATCTTTGATTGCCTACTTTGGCCCAATGCTACTCCTGGGGGTCATTATATCTTCACCTGCTTGCATATAAATATGACAAAACATAGCTTTGCTGTTCTTGAAAAGAATATTTTAAGAGTTTTTCCCTATATATATATTTCTATATAGGAATATATACTTTGATCACCTTTGTTGCTCTACAATACCCCTTGGAGCCTTAATTTGAACAAACTAAAAACTACACTACCTTAGTTTGCTTCCAGATAACTACTATGACTAATAATTGTTCTCTGTTCTTCAGATATTTTACTATGCAAACTTTGATATTTTTATTTGCCCCCTCCCCCTACCCGAGGGATCATGATTTGAACAAATATGAATCTACACTACCTGAGGATGCTTCCATATTAATATTACTATTATTACTAATATTTCTATGTAAAAATTTAATCACCTATTGGGTGATTTAACCACCATATCCCCAGGGGTCATCATTTGAACAAACTTGAATCGACACTACCTGAGCTAAGGATGCTTTCATATTTGTAGATTAATCATGGCTCAATTTGCTTTTTTTGAGATTTTAAAAGATTTTTTCCCCAAGTTAAACTTCCATTACTTGTTGTGGCCCAACTCTACCCTGAGGGTCATGATTTGAAATAAAATCTAGTCTCTCTATGTAATGAAGTATGCATTAATTTCATCTTTTCTAGCCTGATGGTTGATCTTGAGAAGAAATATAAGAGATGCCATTAAATTTGCATGAATTATCCCCCCATTGAAAGAGGACAGGCCCTTTATTGGAACAAACTTAAAATCCCTTCACATAAGAATGCTTTGTGGGAAGTTGGTTGAAATTGGCCCAGGCAGTGGTTTTTTAGAAGTAAATACATACAAGTTTAGTCTGAGAAGTACATACATACAAGATTAGTCTACTCTCCTGACTCAGGATGAAAAATTGGGTCATTAGGTAGGTGGAAATTTTTTTTACAGAAATTTTCAACATCAATCTGAATATTCAAAATCTATTTTCCGGAATGAATAAAAAAATTGTTCACTGGAGGTAAAAAAAAAAGTTTTGAGTCGGCCATTTTTAGCCAGTCAGTCTGGAGAGGGCAAACAAACATTTTTAAAGATGGCCTAAATTTCAACTTATTTAGCCCAGTGGTTCTTGAGAATAAAGTTGTTAAAAGATGCCACTAGATTTTCTTTTATTCTTAATTATCTCCCCTAGAATGAGGGCATGGCCCTTCATTTGAAGAAATATGAATCCCCTTCACCCAAGGATCAATTGTGGCAAGTTTGGTTGAAATTGGCCCAATGGTTCTGGAAGAAGTCGTTATTGTGAAAAGTTTACAGACAGACGGGCACACAGCTGGACAGACAGATAGACGGACGACAAAAAATTTGATCAGAAAAACTTACTTGAGCTTTCAGCTCAGGTGAGCTAAAAATGGAAATTTATTTCTCTTAAATATGTGAGCACAGTTCTGTTATTAATTAATTATTTATTTACTTGTTTGGACATTTAAATATCTAATGTTTAATCATGGATACATATTTATATATCAGGTATGTCTAAAACAACTTTAAAAAGATAAAAAAAAAATTTCTATGATGGTGTACGTATTATCAATTTTTTCTAGTATATGTCATTGTCACATTTTACTTGATCAATTTCAAATACTGACATTCATATTTCAAATTTTCAGAATTTGATAAATAAAGATATAAATAAAAACAATTCCACTAATAATTATGTCTAAATTATTTTTGACAGGCAGGCCAATGGGAAAAAGGTGTACAATCTGTGTGTACGCATTTACATACAGTAATAATTCCTATGACCAGAATTCAGATTTCAAAATTACTTACCAACAGAGACCCCTATAATCAGAGCAATGAGTTCCTCAGTTGCCTTGCATTTTTGCGTCTGAACATCAGCAGAAAAAAATGGAATGTCACATGATTCTGGGGAAGAGCTTCCTGCTGGACAAATGGCTGACTGAGGGCAGACCCTTGGGGATTCCCATGTTGACTGTGAATGATAATCATAAGTTTCTTGATTGTTTATAGTTGGGCATCTACATTGTTAGAACATTTGTTATAAAATGGACTGTACTTGTGGCATTATAATTTAATTAGCACTATATATATATATATATATATATATATATATATATATATATATATATATATATATATATATATATATATATATATATATATATATATATATATATATATATAAGGTGAAGTATCATCTTATTCTTTTTCATCCATTGTATAAAATGTTCTACCTTCTCCTAGCTTGTGGATGCTAATACTCAAAATTAAATGATTCAACCATGAAATGCAAATTAGAATGCATCAGTGAACATGTGTAATTTAACATGTGTAATTTAAAATTTAGTCATAAATACTGCTTGAATAGTATTAATCAAGTAACCCTGATGTCTTAATGTCTAGTGACGTGCAGAATATGAATATCATGATAAATTTCAAAACTATAACTCTTGCTCTACTGACTTAAACTTAAAATAAGGAGAACCGCATCATCTGCATTGTCTTGAAACTTACTGAAATCGGACCAAAACTGTAAGCGTACTAGCATTTTGAAAGAATTTTATAGAATTTTCTAGTTTTAGTACAACCTCTTACTTCAAAATAATTTCTTACAGTTTAATTTTCACGACATATTTGAATTAAACAGTGCAAATTATACGTCAATATTCAATTTAAAAACTGCTCTAAAAATTGTAAAGAAACAAAATTTATGGGGGACTATTTCTTGTGATGAAAGGATATTTAGAAGAAGATTCTTCAGATCCACACTATTGTTTCAAGATGGGTTAAAATCTTGGAACTTTAGCCCTACATATTTTTAATCAGAGAATATTTTCCATTATAATATGCTAGGAATATTAAATTAGTATTTTGTAAATAAATTTTACACATCCACTCAACAGACTTGGCCAAAAAATGAAATCAAGTCAAGATAAACATTTACCCCCCCCCCCCCCCCCCCATGAAAATGAAGATTTCACATAAGTATAAACTCTTCTGAACAAGTAGTTCTTGAGAAGATATTGAAAAATTTTTTCCTACATATTCATATGTAAAACTTTGGTCATCTATTGCAGCCCCACCCTTCCGCCGGTGATCATGGTCTGAATAAAATTAAATCTACACTTCACACAAGTTTCAACTTTTCTGGCACAGTGGTTCTTCAGAAGTTTTTAAAAGATGCCACTAAATTTTCATTATTAATTCTTAATTATCTTCCCTTGAAGGAGGGCATGGCCCTTCATTTGAACAAATTTGAATCCCCTTTATCCAAGGATACTTTGTGCCATGTTTTGGTTGAAGTTGGCCCAGTTGTTCTTGAGAAGAAGTCGAAATTGTGAAAAGTTTACAACAACAACGGTGACGACAACGGACAAATTTCAATCAGAAAAGCTCACTTGAGCCTTTGGCCTGGAGCCCCTTTTTCTTGACTTCAAATGAAAGGTCTTGATTTAAAAGACTTTTTGTTCAGCAACTATTTAGAGGTTTCCTTTCGTTTTTGAGCTAAATAGAAAAGAAATATTTAGGGGCCTTCAAGTCCTTAACAGGGCGATTCTCAAAAGATTGAAAGGTTGCATATTATTTAGAACATTATTCTGAGCATGTTTTGTTCAACATTGCTTATCAAAATATTATCCCCTTTTTGAGATACACTGTATAAAGTGTCAAAAAGTTAGCATTCTGGTCCCTTATGGTCCCTAATTACGTAAAATACATTTGTATGATGTAAATTTTATAATATATATTTGCAGATTGTATGATGAACATTTATGGGGAATATATTGATCATTCAAGAGTTAAAGATTAAAGTTTTTTGGCCCCTCTGAGTTTGTAATCGTGGGGCCAATTCCTTTTTCTTGTCTCAACTGAAAGGTCTTGTAATTTTGAAGATTTTTTGTCAGCAACTATTTAGAAGTTTCTTTTTGGTTTTTTTCGAGCTTCATAGAAAAGAACTAGATGTGTCGTTAACGCCATGAATGCCCCCACAAGCAGCCAAAATTTCAAATGCAATATTTAGTATTGAATTTGTATTCAAACTTCACCCGCATTTTCTGGTAAAATACCTGCATATGCAACTTCAACTTTTTACATTCATCCCTACAAAAGTTAGAGAGCAGAAACTGAAAATTTCTTATTTTTTTCTAAGTTCAAGAAGAGGGATATAGCTCTGTCAAAAATCATCAGAACATAACCAAATTCGAACTTGACCTGTATTTTCAAGTAAAATACCTGCACATGCAATTTCAATCTTATACATACATCCCTATAAATGTTAGAGAGCGGAAACTGAAAATTTCTTATTTTTTCTAAGTTTAAGAGGGATAACTCTGTCAAAAATCGTCGAACCATTACCAAATTCGAACTTGACCTGCGTATTCCTATCATGTATCCATATGTCAAATTTGAGTTGAATGTGTGCAACTGTTGCAGAGATAATGAACGGAAAGTGATGACGGAATGACATAAGGACGGAATGACAGAACAGGGTAATGCTATATGCCCCGACCATTTCATAGTGGGGACAAAAATATGAAGGGGTCAGCCCTTCAAGTCCTTAACGGGACCATTTTCAAAAGATTAAAAGGTTGCATATTATTTAAAACATTATTCTGAGCATCTTTTGTTCAATATTGCTTATCAAAATATTTTCCCTTTTTCTACAGATAAAGTGTTAAAAAATTTTGCATTCTGGTCCTTTATGACCCTTAATTACGTATCATTTGATAAAAAAAATTATATTATATGGTTGCAGATTGTAACAAAATATTGATCGTTAAAGAGTTATAGATTAAAGAATTTTGAAGAAAAAACCCCAAAAAAAACAACAACAAAGGAATATAAATAGCCATGGTTTCTTTTGATCTTTTTTTTAAAGATATAATCTTAAACTCTAGTGATTTTGAACACTTTTCGTTCAAGAATTATTCAAAAATTCTTTTCGTTTCCGGATATATGCAAAATAAATATTATGGAGCCAGCCCTTCAAGTCCTTATTTGGGAACGTTTTGCAAAATCTGAAAGACTGCATATTGTTAGGAACATTATATAGAACGTCTTTTGTCTTCTGTTCAATATTGCTTATCAAAATATTCCCCCTTTTCAAGATATACTGTGCCAAAGATTTGGCAATCTGGCCCATAATTACCCCTTATTGCGTAACATATAATGCCAACATTATGTTATATAGTTAAATAAGAGGCCCACGGGCCTTGAATCGCTCTTCTGATAAACTGTACAAACTATCACTTCTATTTGAAGCCTCTAAGTATCCTATATATTTAGATAAAGCCTCAAAATTCCAAAGGTAGGTCATCATGACCTACATTTTAGATGAAACACTCTGAGAACCCAAGATGATTCTAAGCCAATTAGAACCTGAGAGTAGGTCATGGTGACCAACTTATCACTTGTCATTCTCTGAGGACCCAAGATGCATCAACTAAGTTTGATGAATCTAAGCCAATTAATACCTAAAATATTTTCAAAACTATAACCATAAAATTTCAAAAGTAGGTCACAGTGACCTACTTTTTAGATGACATACTTAGAGGACCAAAGATTCATCAACTGACAAAGTTTGATGATTCTAAGCCAATTAGTCCCTGATATATTTAAATAAAGCCATAAATTTCAAAAATAGGTCACAGTGACCTCCTTTTCAGTCGACTAACTCTGCGGACCCAAGATGCAACCTGACAAAGTTTGGTGACTCTAAGCCAATAAGTACCTGAAATACTTAATTAAAGCCATAAATTTAAATTGTTCAAAATATGCCTCTGATTCATTTTGAAAAAGAATGGCTGCAATATTTTTAAACAAGAGGCCCATGGGCCACATCGCTCACCTGAGCACACTGGCTAGACTAAGGCACAAATCAGTTCAGTAATAAACAGGGGGGGGGGGGGCTTGAATTTTAAACTACCTGATGATGCTTTCATGTCAATTTAACAAATGAATTTTTTCCCATTTATTCCTTTGTAAAAATTTGATCCCCCATTGTAGCTCCTCCCTATCTCAGGGGTCATCATTTGAACAAACTTGAATCTTCATTACCCGAGGATGCTTCCATATCAATAAGACTAACATAGCTTTTCTGTTCTTGAGAAGAATTTTTTTTCTCTATATGTTCTTATGTAAAACTTTCGATCCCCCATTGGGCCCCACCCTACCCCCGGGGGTCATCATTTGAACAAACTTGAATCTACACTAGCTGAGGATGCTTCCATATAAATTTGACTCATCATGGCTTTACTGTTCTTGAAAAGAAGATCTTTCCTATATATTTCTATGTCAAACTTTGATCCTTCATTGTGGCCCCGCCCTACCCCCGGGAGCCATGATTTGAACAAAATTGAATCTACACTTCCTGAGGATGCTTCCATATAAATATGACTCTTCATGGCTTTACTGTTCTTGAAAAGAAGATTTTTAAAGATTTTTCCTATATATTTCTAATTAAATTTGGATCCTCCATTTTGGCCCCGCCCTAACCCCGGGGGTCATGATTTGAACAAACTTGAATCTACACTACCTGAGGATGCTTCCGTATAAATATGACTCTTCATGGCTTTACTGTTCTTGAGAAGAAGATTTTTAAAGATTTTTCCTATATATTTCTAAGTAAAATTTGGATCCTCCATTGTGGCCCCACCCTACCCCCGGGGGTCATGATTTGAACAAACTTGAATCTACACTACCTGAGGATGCTTCCATATAAATATGACTCTTCATGGCTTTACTGTTCTTGAGAAGATTTTTAAAGATTTTTCCTATATATTTCTATGTAAAATTTGGATCCTCCATTGTGGCCCCGCCCTAACCCTGGGGGTCATGATTTGAACAAAATTGAATCTACACTTCCTGAGGATGCTTCCATATAAATATGACTCTTCATGGCTTTACTGTTCTTGAAAAGAAGATTTTTAAAGATTTTTCCTATATATTTCTAAGTAAAATTTGGATCCTCCATTG